AACTATTCCAGTTGCCAGATCATCCATGAACTCGTCCCAAAAAGGTTATAATGAGCAAATCTCCTCTACATCTTCTATCTATAAACTATAAAAACTTGAAAACAGATATAGAAATCATGATCAACGCTTTCAGCTGCGAAAACGGACAAACGAGCATCGAAAACGAGGACGAAGAGCAAACACAATGGAGGACCATGAACAAAAAAAATTCAAACCTGCAGGAAGAACACGAATTTGTCTGTGTATGCCTGGAAGAAGCAGAGCAGAGCATGGAAGGAGAGAAATGAGATTCGAAAGAGAGATAAATATCAGGGTGAAGAATAAATGAGGAGAAAGTTGTTTTGCTTTTAACAGAATCTTTGACCAGGTTTTTACTTTTTTATTTCTGATTTTGGCATTCTGTATAATTTTGGAGGTGCAGGTTAAATCCTTGGAGGTGAAGATGAACACCCTTTTGCTATTTCAATTACTGTTAATTTGGGCTTTCACGGGAAAAATAAGGGTGTTGGTTCTTTCACCACCACTCCTTCTTCTTCCACCACCTCATTCCTATTTTACTCCTCTCTTTATTTTTTCATCCATATTTTACCTTTAATAAAATTTTAGGGTTAATACTTTATCCACTCTAATCTTCTACATATGCATCGACAACTCTTCTTTCTCTTTATCGTTCGTCCCTTCATTGTTTCATTGTGCTTTCTTCTTCTTTTTCACGTCAAAACACTTCTTCCCCATCTCTTGTTTAATTGTGACAGAATTGTGGTCTCAGAGTGTGGTGGGAACAATTTCAGTAGTGGTGGTTTTGTGATAGTGAGGGAGATTGCAAGTGTGAGTGGTGTGGAATGGAAGTTAATGCATAATCGTGACAAGAAGAAAGATCGGGTGTGGTGGTGGTTGTGGTGGTGCTTTTGAAGGAGTCGGCGTGCAGGTGCGTTAATAAACCCTAAAAAAAATAAGGTTGAAATTACCCTATTTGTCCCCAGTTTCGCTCGGGAAAAATCTCAAATTAGTCCATCCTTTAAAAGTGCGTCAATTACGTCCTTACTTAATAAAATTTATATCAATGAAATTCCTTCCGTTAAATCCGTACAAACGACTCTCTTCTACTTTTTCTACTTTTTCTGCTTTCTTTGTGCAACGCAACAACTTTTTTTCTCTCTTCTACTGTTCTTCTTCTCTCCTCTTCTACCAATTATACAATAAGACTTTCTTCAGAAAATCTAATGGGGAGTTGGCTGTGAATTATCTACTGGGGAGGCTGGGAAAAGGTTTTCAAAGACAGTGAGAGTGGTTTGATCTTGGAGGAGGATCAGTTCAAATGCCATATGCTTTGTTGTCTCAAGGGAACACAGCCAAAAAATGCCCCATTACTACCTGAAAGGAGAGGATCCTTACATAAAGAAGCTATATGCGAAGGGAAAAAATTATGATCTCTATGTTCACAGTTCATTTCTTATTTCCCTATGGAGGAGACAAGTTTGGATTTAACTTCATTTCAAAATAAAATTAAGATTTAGGGTTTTATTAATATTTTTTGAAATTCTATTTTATTAGGTTTGGGTAGTAGTAATTATTTAGTTTGATTTTGATAGAGATAAAATAAGGAGAGATAGTTATGATTTTCGTTATTTTTAGTTTTGAGATTTTTATTTCGAAACACCATATTTGTTTGTCTCAGTTACTTGCGATAGGTACAGAAAGCACTTCCGGGCCAGAGGTTTTGGAGGGCACTATGCTCTGCAAACCCTTGGCATTTGCTGGATACGAAGGTAAACAAAGTTCATTGACTTTGTGGCATTCACTTCTTGATGAACGTTGAGAGAGGAAATACAGGTGAGTTTGTTGTTGTTTATAGGAAGCTATACATATTCAGGAGTGGAGTATGCAGGTACCCTCCAAGTCAGGGTCCCAATTATGATGCATGCAGAGAGATAGTCCTTGAGGCTCTCAAGCTGAAGGCGCCATGTTCTCATCACAATTGCTCATTTGGTGGGGTATGGGACGGTGGAAAGAGGAAGTGGACAAAGAAATATTTATGCTACTTCATCGTTCTATTATCTGTCCAGGAGACGTATGAGCATTTATTAGCTGATTTCTGATTTGGATTTCTTTCTCAGGCTACAGGATAGAATTTCGTTGTTCGTTTGTATAGGTTGGTATCGTGTTAATTCAAAAAATCTCCCAATGCCATTGTTCGTCCTGGGATCTGAAAACTTGGTTAAGGGAGATTGTTGGAAGAAAAACATTTGAAGATGCCAATCAAGTTATCCACTTCTTTCTGAAGAAAGAGTTCCGTTTGTGTGCATGGACATTACGTACATGTATATTGTTTTGTAGTGATAGAAGAAGTAGAAGAGAGAGAAAAAGAATAGTAGAAGAGAGAAAAAAAAGCTGCTGCGTTGCACAAAAAAAGCATAAAAAGTAGAAGAGAGAAAAATAATTAACGTCGTTTGTACGGATTTAACGGAAGGATTTCATCGATATAAATTTTTTTAAGTAAGGACGTAATTGACGCACTTTTTAAAGAATGGACTATTAAACCAAAAAATAAACATATAATCTTTAAACGGATGTGAGCATCCCTCAGGGGATGTCCGTTTAAGGGAAAACAGATGTTGATATCCCTTTAAGGGAAAACAGATGTTGATATCCGTTTTGCCTTAAAGATGTTGACATCCGTTGACGGATGCTCACATCCGTTTAAAGTACATGTTTATTTTCCAGTTTATTTTATTAGGTTTATTTGTTTATATTAATTTTGGAGATATTTAATAAGTAATTTATGTTTTGATGTATTATTTTTTAATATATTTTTGATGTATTTTAATAATGTAATTTTGAAGATCTTTATTGTTATTAGTTTATATTTATATTTTTTTTGTATTTTGCAGTTATATAATTAGTTTTTTGTTTTAATGTTTTTGTATAATATATATTTTTTATATATGATTTTGTATTCTTTAACAATTTTATAATTATATAAAAAATATTTATAGTTTAATTATATGAATATATAATTTTATTATATTAATATTTTTGTAATTAAAATAAACGAATGTGTTGGAGTTGGGATCGGAATCTAGAAAAAAAGAGAAGAAAAGTTAGGAGGAAATTTTTTTTTTTTTTTCCGAAAGTTAGAGAGGTGGAGGAAGAAGTGGTGATGGAGGGAACAACACCCGAAAAATAAACACACTTAACAAGCTCATTTGAAAAAAGAAACCCCAAAAATACAATAATTCCATTATCACCCCTCTACGTTGCTATTTTCCCAATCTATCACTTCACACTTCACTGCTTCATCGTTCATTCTTCATAGCAGAACCACCAAAATCCTAAACCCCAAAATGCGAGGCTTCGCTTGTCGAGCCTCCAACTTCTTCAAGCGCAATCTCGATAATTTCCCTTATAACCCTAATTTCAACTTCTTCAGAGAATTCGCGCAATCCACCGCAATCCCCAAAAAGCAACTTAGGGTTCGTGACCACGGCTACGACAACTACATGGAAGTGGAGAAGAAAACGCGCAAGGTCCTCAAATTTCAGAGCATCATCCTCCCCGAGCCCACCCAATCGCTCCCAATCTCGCGCCTCGAAAACCTCGTGCGCCGCTTCGGTTTCACGCGCTACGAGGCTGGTGCGTTCGTCCTTAAGTTCCCGCACGTCTTCGAAATCTTTGAGCACCCCGTCCAGCGCATTCTCTTCTGCCGCCTCACCCGCAAAGCCATCCTCCAGATTCAGCAGGAGCGCCAAGCACTCGCGGAACAGATTCCACGCGCCGTCACGCGGCTTCGGAAGCTTCTGCTGATGACGAACGAAGGCAGGCTCCGCCTCGAGCATGTGCGCATTGCACGCTCCGCCTTCGGCCTTCCCGACGACTTCGAAAACTCTGTGGTTCTGAGGTACCCTCAGTTTTTCCGTTTGATTGATGCAAAGGAAACTAGGATGAAGTACATTGAGGTTGTGGAGAGGGACCCTAGGTTATCAATTTGTGCGATTGAGGAGGTTAGGGAGAGGGAGTATAGAGAGAGAGGTGGTGATGCTGAGGATGTTAGATTTTCTTTTGTCATTGATTTTCCACCTGGTTTTAAGATAGGTAAGTATTTTAGGATTGCAATGTGGAAGTGGCAGAGGCTTCCTTATTGGTCCCCGTATGAGGATGTTTCTGGGTATGATTTGAGGTCCATTGAAGCCCAGAAGAGGATGGAGAAGAGAGCTGTTGCCACCATTCATGAGTTGTTGTCGTTGACTGTGGAGAAGAAAATTACATTGGAGCGGATCGCACATTTCCGAATGGCGATGAACCTGCCCAAGAGGTTGAAGGATTTCCTGCTCCAGCACCAAGGTATTTTCTATGTCTCCACCAGGGGGAATCAGGGGAAGCTTCACACTGTTTTCCTTAGGGAGGCGTATAGAAAAGGCGAGCTGATTGAGCCGAATGAGTTGTATTTGGCACGGAGGAAGCTAGCTGAGCTTGTGCTATTGAGTCCAAGGAAAGCCAAGGTTGATAAGGAGTTGGTTGGGTACAGGAGAAGCAGGTTAGAGGACGAAATGGGGCATGTAACGAGGACATATGTGGAGGATGCTTGTGAAGACTTTAAGGGGGAAGATGGTGTGGGTCTGGATAAGGATGCAGAGGATGATTTGACGTCAGATATAGGTTCTGATGTTGATTTGGGAGATGAGGGTGATGATTTTGTGGATAGTGCATCACTGCAAAGGACATCATAGCTAGTATTTGGGAACCTATTTGAGCTACATTTACTTCAATTTTGCAATTGAGAAAAGTCTCTTGATACAGTTCTGAATTCTGAAATTTTGAAATCTAACTTCCGAAAGTTTTGAGCAATAGAAAATGAGGAATTAAGATTCCTGTTTTTTCTGCATCTTAACTGAAGTAATATGATTTGTGGTGATTAACCCAGCTTGATCTATAGTGATTTTGTCAGACCTACTGGGTTCCTTATGAAAAGTGTGGACTCTCCTATAATGTAGGAGGGGAGCAATACTGGTCCTATGTGAAACTGGCTCTTCATGAAGGTTTTATTGAGTTGATATTTGATGCGACTGAGATCTTCAGCCTAGCTCTTTCTGAAGGTTGGATTGAATTGTCTCATTTATGGAGAGGAATAGGCCTTGGAGGTAGAGGGAAGATATCCATGTGATCATCAATTCTTTTTTCACCAGTATATTCCTGTACATATAGATTATTTTTATAGATGGAAACACCAACAAATCAAAGAAATAACAGCTTTAACCTTGATGCATCTTGTTAGAAAATCAAGTGCCTCACTCGGATGGATGTTCAATGAGGCCTGTGGCAACTCATCTGCAGTTGGATAAATACCAGTCATTTACAGTACCTTTTGAATTTGGTAATAATTTTTTGTAGAACGCTAAGACTCCGGAGGATGATGACAAGTGTTAACATAAACTAAGCTATAAATGAGAAATTTCTATCACCATTTTTTTCCCTGTTAGGATCACTACAAATATTGTGGTCCATGTTTGTCTCCTTATGATTGACCGCAAATTAAACCTATTCTTCTCTGTTAGGTTACTTTCATTGAGGGGAATAGTTTGAGATACCTGTTGTGAACGGTGTTTGGGATAGGGGTGCTGAATTAAATATTTTTGGATAGTTGGTGTTGTTTCAGTACATTTTTTGCCATTTACTTAGTTTAATCATTACTAGCTGAAATTAACACCGCGAATTCACCTTTATATCTAAGGCATCATGTAGATTATGGAGATTTGGGCGAGTCCACTTCTCGTAATAAATTTCCGGGAGTGGCCCCCCATTTGGTAATCATTTGTTTGTTTATTGAGTAATTTATCCATTCCATAAAGTTATTATAGGGAGCCAGAACCGAACCTAATCACCACCCACTGTGGTGGCTTACTTCATTCTGCTTGCATGTATGCATTCATAACATGAATCACCATGAGTGTGGAATTAACTGCTAGATCAAAATCAAAAGTATACTGTTTTTCGCACTGTAATTATATTTATTGTTGCTTTGATATATGCTTATGTATCTACAAATTATGTGCAGCTAACAATTTGTATTACAAACGTGTCTTCCATTTTGGAAACCCAAACAATCATGAAATGTAAAAATTTGAAGAGGTGTTTATGAGGATTATTAAGACTAAGGCTTTCAAGATCTAGCATGTTGTTTGACTGATAATGCTAGGAAGCAGTTCTGTGACGTGCACTTGAGGCATGTATTCCAAATGACTATGGGAACCGAACTTATTTGAAATAGTTTAGAATAGTTTAAACCAAAGCAGAACAGATTTTAAACCGATTTAAACCAGTTCACATCTTTTTCTGGTTCTAATTTAGATTCAATCATTTAGTATATGCTCTGAACTAGTTCACTAGCATCAAACCAGTTTGTGCGAAATAAAACTTGTTAGGTTCTCTAGTCAAAAAGCATCTCGTGGTTTGGTTTGCTTTAGTAATGCATTTCTAAATTAATTTCCTGGAATCGCCATCAGTCTCATGGCCAGAATGACTTTACTAACTCTCCAAACTGTTTTAAGTGAGAAATGTTAACAATGTAATGCACTCTTTTAATTGCTTCGTTTCAAGTTGAATACCATTGAAAATTACAAAAAAAATTTACCTTTCACATTTTATTTAATTAATGATCTCTAGTCATGGTTTTGTAACCTTTCTGTGAATGTCAATATAATATTAAGATTGTAATAGAAAAAAAATGTGATAGTGTGTTGTTAGCTCTAATCTTTTCAATTTCATGGATTTTATGTACTTGTCAACCAAAGAAACATCTCAATGAAGAGGTATAACGCTTCAACGAACGAGAAGAAGGAAGGCACCCTAAACCGCGAACGAACGAGAAGAAGGAAGGCTTGAACGAACGAGAAGAAGGAAGGCACCCTAAACCGCGAAACCCATATTTTGTCAAAAAATTTTTTAGAAAGCCCAAAATACCCCTATGACCGTAACCCCTTCTCTGTTCCATTTTCAAATTACTGAGCCAATAGGAAGCTGCCACGTGCACGTTGTCAAAACTGTGTTAAAAAAGCGTTGTTGGAATAACATTTTCCTTAAACTATTCCAGTTGCACAGATCATCCATGAACTCGTCCCAAAAAAGGTTATAATGATGCAAATCTACCTCTACAATCTTCTTATCTATAAACATACTAAAAACTTGAAAACAAATATAAGAAATCAATGATCAAGCTTTCAGCTGCGAAAACGGACAAACGAGCATCGAAAACGAGGACGAAGAGCAACACCAATGGAGGACCATGAACAAAAAAAATTCAACCTGCAGGAAGAACACGAATTTGTCTGTGTATGCCTGGAAGAAGCAGAGCAGAGCATGGAAGGAGAGAAATGAGATTCGAAAGAGAGATAAATATCAGGGTGAAGAATAAATGAGGAGAAAGTTGTTTTGCTTTTAACAGAATCTTTGACCAGGTTTTTACTTTTTTATTTCTGATTTTGGCATTCTGTATAATTTTGGAGGTGCAGGTTAAATCCTTGGAGGTGAAGATGAACACCCTTTTGCTATTTCAATTACTGTTAATTTGGGCTTTCACGGGAAAAATAAGGGTGTTGGTTCTTTCACCACCACTCCTTCTTCTTCCACCACCTCATTCCTATTTTACTCCTCTCTTTATTTTTTCATCCATATTTTACCTTTAATAAAATTTTAGGGTTAATACTTTATCCACTCTAATCTTCTACATATGCATCGACAACTCTTCTTTCTCTTTATCGTTCGTCCCTTCATTGTTTCATTGTGCTTTTCTTCTTCTTTTTCACGTTACACTTCTTCCTCTCATTCTTTAATTGTGACAGAATTGTGGTCTCAGAGTGTGGTGAACTTTCATTAGCTGGTGTGCTTAGTGAGAGATTGCAAGTGGTGATGGAAGTAATTGATCAGTCGTGCCAAGATCGGTGTGTGGTGGTGGTGTGGTGGTGCTTGAAGGATTCGTCGTGAATGTGCGTAATAAACCCTAAAAAAAATAAGGTTTAATACCCTATTTTGTCCCCAGTTTCGCTCGAAAATCTCAAATTAGTCCATCCTTTAAAAGTGCGTCAATTACGTCCTTACTTAATAAAATTTATATCAATGAAATTCCTTCCGTTAAATCCGTACAAACGACTCTCTTCTACTTTTTCTACTTTTTCTGCTTTCTTTGTGCAACGCAACAACTTTTTTTCTCTCTTCTACTGTTCTTCTTCTCTCTCTTCTACCAATTATACAATAAGACTTTCTTCAGAAATCTAATGGGGAGTTGGCTGTGAATTATCTACTGGGGAGGCTGGGAAAAAGGTTTTCAAAGACAGTGAGAGTGGTTGATCTTGGAGGAGGATCAGTTCAAATGGCATATGCTGTCTCAAGGAACACAGCCAAAAATGCCCCATTACTACCTCAAGGAGAGGATCCTTACATAAAGAAGCTATATGTGAAGGGCAAAAATTACGATCTCTATGTTCACAGGTTTCATTTCTTATTCTCCCTATGGAGGAGACAAGTTTGGATTCACTTCATTTCAAAATAAATTAAGATTTTAGGGTTTTATTAATAATTTTTTTAAATTTTATTTTATTAGTTTTTGGGTATAGTAATATTTAGTTTGATTTTGATAGAGATAAAATAAGGATAGATAGTTATGATTTTCTGTTTATTTTTAGGTTTTTAGATTTTATTTTCTTAACACCATAATTTGTGTCTCAGTTACTTGCGCTATGGTACAGAAGCATTTCGTGCAGAGGTTTTGGAGGTCACTGATGGCTCTGCTAACCCTTGCATTTTGGCTGGATACGAAGGTAAACAAAGTCATTGCTTTGTGGCATTCACTTCTTGATGATACGTTGAGAGATGGAAATAACAGGTGAGTTTGTTGTTGTTTATAGGAAGCTATACATATTCAGGAGTGGAGTATGCAGTGTACCCTCCAAAGTCAGGGCCCAATTATGATGCATGCAGAGAGATAGTCCTTGAGGCTCTCAAACTGAAGGCGCCATGTTCTCATCACAATTGCTCATTTGGTGGGGTATGGGACGGTGGAAGAGGAAGTGGACAAAGAATTATTTATGCTACTTCATCCTTCTATTATCTGTCCAGAGACGTATGAGCATTATTTTAGCATGAATTTCTGATTTGGATTTCTTTCTCAGGCTACAGTGATAGTAATTTCGTTGTTCGTTGTATAGGTTGGTATCGTTGATCAAAAATCTCCCAATGCCATTGTTCGTCCTGTGGATCTTGAAAACTTGGTTAAGGGAGCTTGTGGAAAAACATTTGAAGATGCCAAATCAAGTTATCCACTTCTTTCTGAAGAAAGAGTTCCGTTTGTGTGCATGGACATTACGTACATGTATATTGTTTTGTAGTGAGAGAAGAAGTAGAAGAGAGAGAAAAAGAATAGTAGAAGAGAGAAAAAAAGCTGCTGCGTTGCACAAAAAAAGCATAAAAAGTAGAAGAGAGAAAAATAATTAACGTCGTTTGTACGGATTTAACGGAAGGATTTCATCGATATAAATTTTTTTAAGTAAGGACGTAATTGACGCACTTTTTAAAGAATGGACTATTAAACCAAAAAATAAACATATAATCTTTAAACGGATGTGAGCATCCCTCAGGGGATGTCCGTTTAAGGGAAAACAGATGTTGATATCCCTTTAAGGGAAAACAGATGTTGATATCCGTTTTGCCTTAAACGGATGTTGACATCCGTTGACGGATGCTCACATCCGTTTAAAGTTACATGTTTATTTTCCAGTTTATTTTTATTAGTTTATTTTTTATATTAATTTTGGAGATATTTTAATAATGTAATTTATATATTTTGATGTATTATTTTTTAATATATTTTTGATGTATTTTAATAATGTATTTTTGAAGATCTTTATTGTTATTAGTTTATATTTATATATTTTTTATTTTACAGTTATATATAATTAGTTTTTTGTTTTAATGTTTTTGTATAATATATATTTTTTATATATGATTTTTGTATTCTTTAACAATTTTATAATTATATAAAAAATATTTATTAGTTTAATTATATGAATATATAATTTTATTATATTAATATTTTTGTAATTAAAATAAACGAATGTGTTGGAGTTGGGATCGGAATCTAGAAAGAAAGAGAAGAAAAGTTAGGAGGAAATTTTTTTTTTTTTTTCCGAAAGTTAGAGAGGTGGAGGAAGAAGTGGTGATGGAGGGAACAACACCCGAAAAATAAACACACTTAACAAGCTCATTTGAAAAAAGAAACCCCAAAAATACAATAATTCCATTATCACCCCTCTACGTTGCTATTTTCCCAATCTATCACTTCACACTTCACTGCTTCATCGTTCATTCTTCATAGCAGAACCACCAAAATCCTAAACCCCAAAATGCGAGGCTTCGCTTGTCGAGCCTCCAACTTCTTCAAGCGCAATCTCGATAATTTCCCTTATAACCCTAATTTCAACTTCTTCAGAGAATTCGCGCAATCCACCGCAATCCCCAAAAAGCAACTTAGGGTTCGTGACCACGGCTACGACAACTACATGGAAGTGGAGAAGAAAACGCGCAAGGTCCTCAAATTTCAGAGCATCATCCTCCCCGAGCCCACCCAATCGCTCCCAATCTCGCGCCTCGAAAACCTCGTGCGCCGCTTCGGTTTCACGCGCTACGAGGCTGGTGCGTTCGTCCTTAAGTTCCCGCACGTCTTCGAAATCTTTGAGCACCCCGTCCAGCGCATTCTCTTCTGCCGCCTCACCCGCAAAGCCATCCTCCAGATTCAGCAGGAGCGCCAAGCACTCGCGGAACAGATTCCACGCGCCGTCACGCGGCTTCGGAAGCTTCTGCTGATGACGAACGAAGGCAGGCTCCGCCTCGAGCATGTGCGCATTGCACGCTCCGCCTTCGGCCTTCCCGACGACTTCGAAAACTCTGTGGTTCTGAGGTACCCTCAGTTTTTCCGTTTGATTGATGCAAAGGAAACTAGGATGAAGTACATTGAGGTTGTGGAGAGGGACCCTAGGTTATCAATTTGTGCGATTGAGGAGGTTAGGGAGAGGGAGTATAGAGAGAGAGGTGGTGATGCTGAGGATGTTAGATTTTCTTTTGTCATTGATTTTCCACCTGGTTTTAAGATAGGTAAGTATTTTAGGATTGCAATGTGGAAGTGGCAGAGGCTTCCTTATTGGTCCCCGTATGAGGATGTTTCTGGGTATGATTTGAGGTCCATTGAAGCCCAGAAGAGGATGGAGAAGAGAGCTGTTGCCACCATTCATGAGTTGTTGTCGTTGACTGTGGAGAAGAAAATTACATTGGAGCGGATCGCACATTTCCGAATGGCGATGAACCTGCCCAAGAGGTTGAAGGATTTCCTGCTCCAGCACCAAGGTATTTTCTATGTCTCCACCAGGGGGAATCAGGGGAAGCTTCACACTGTTTTCCTTAGGGAGGCGTATAGAAAAGGCGAGCTGATTGAGCCGAATGAGTTGTATTTGGCACGGAGGAAGCTAGCTGAGCTTGTGCTATTGAGTCCAAGGAAAGCCAAGGTTGATAAGGAGTTGGTTGGGTACAGGAGAAGCAGGTTAGAGGACGAAATGGGGCATGTAACGAGGACATATGTGGAGGATGCTTGTGAAGACTTTAAGGGGGAAGATGGTGTGGGTCTGGATAAGGATGCAGAGGATGATTTGACGTCAGATATAGGTTCTGATGTTGATTTGGGAGATGAGGGTGATGATTTTGTGGATAGTGCATCACTGCAAAGGACATCATAGCTAGTATTTGGGAACCTATTTGAGCTACATTTACTTCAATTTTGCAATTGAGAAAAGTCTCTTGATACAGTTCTGAATTCTGAAATTTTGAAATCTAACTTCCGAAAGTTTTGAGCAATAGAAAATGAGGAATTAAGATTCCTGTTTTTTCTGCATCTTAACTGAAGTAATATGATTTGTGGTGATTAACCCAGCTTGATCTATAGTGATTTTGTCAGACCTACTGGGTTCCTTATGAAAAGTGTGGACTCTCCTATAATGTAGGAGGGGAGCAATACTGGTCCTATGTGAAACTGGCTCTTCATGAAGGTTTTATTGAGTTGATATTTGATGCGACTGAGATCTTCAGCCTAGCTCTTTCTGAAGGTTGGATTGAATTGTCTCATTTATGGAGAGGAATAGGCCTTGGAGGTAGAGGGAAGATATCCATGTGATCATCAATTCTTTTTTCACCAGTATATTCCTGTACATATAGATTATTTTTATAGATGGAAACACCAACAAATCAAAGAAATAACAGCTTTAACCTTGATGCATCTTGTTAGAAAATCAAGTGCCTCACTCGGATGGATGTTCAATGAGGCCTGTGGCAACTCATCTGCAGTTGGATAAATACCAGTCATTTACAGTACCTTTTGAATTTGGTAATAATTTTTTGTAGAACGCTAAGACTCCGGAGGATGATGACAAGTGTTAACATAAACTAAGCTATAAATGAGAAATTTCTATCACCATTTTTTTCCCTGTTAGGATCACTACAAATATTGTGGTCCATGTTTGTCTCCTTATGATTGACCGCAAATTAAACCTATTCTTCTCTGTTAGGTTACTTTCATTGAGGGGAATAGTTTGAGATACCTGTTGTGAACGGTGTTTGGGATAGGGGTGCTGAATTAAATATTTTTGGATAGTTGGTGTTGTTTCAGTACATTTTTTGCCATGTTACTTAGTTTAATCATTACTAGCTGAAATTAACACCGCGAATTCACCTTTATATCTAAGGCATCATGTAGATTATGGAGATTTGGGCGAGTCCACTTCTCGTAATAAATTTCCGGGAGTGGCCCCCCATTTGGTAATCATTTGTTTGTTTATTGAGTAATTTATCCATTCCATAAAGTTATTATAGGGAGCCAGAACCGAACCTAATCACCACCCACTGTGGTGGCTTACTTCATTCTGCTTGCATGTATGCATTCATAACATGAATCACCATGAGTGTGGAATTAACTGCTAGATCAAAATCAAAAGTATACTGTTTTTCGCACTGTAATTATATTTATTGTTGCTTTGATATATGCTTATGTATCTACAAATTATGTGCAGCTAACAATTTGTATTACAAACGTGTCTTCCATTTTGGAAACCCAAACAATCATGAAATGTAAAAATTTGAAGAGGTGTTTATGAGGATTATTAAGACTAAGGCTTTCAAGATCTAGCATGTTGTTTGACTGATAATGCTAGGAAGCAGTTCTGTGACGTGCACTTGAGGCATGTATTCCAAATGACTATGGGAACCGAACTTATTTGAAATAGTTTAGAATAGTTTAAACCAAAGCAGAACAGATTTTAAACCGATTTAAACCAGTTCACATCTTTTTCTGGTTCTAATTTAGATTCAATCATTTAGTATATGCTCTGAACTAGTTCACTAGCATCAAACCAGTTTGTGCGAAATAAAACTTGTTAGGTTCTCTAGTCAAAAAGCATCTCGTGGTTTGGTTTGCTTTAGTAATGCATTTCTAAATTAATTTCCTGGAATCGCCATCAGTCTCATGGCCAGAATGACTTTACTAACTCTCCAAACTGTTTTAAGTGAGAAATGTTAACAATGTAATGCACTCTTTTAATTGCTTCGTTTCAAGTTGAATACCATTGAAAATTACAAAAAAAATTTACCTTTCACATTTTATTTAATTAATGATCTCTAGTCATGGTTTTGTAACCTTTCTGTGAATGTCAATATAATATTAAGATTGTAATAGAAAAAAAATGTGATAGTGTGTTGTTAGCTCTAATCTTTTCAATTTCATGGATTTTATGTACTTGTCAACCAAAGAAACATCTCAATGAAGATAACTGAATGCATGCTATGCATCATAAAGAACCGATTTGAAGGTCTGTGATGATAACTTGCTTTAGTACTAAGCCGATAACCCTCAAACAAAGAATCAGGATCACTGAATTTCGCTGGTGTTCAGTGATACATGTCTAAAACGTCAATGTTAAAATTAGTTATGTGGCAACATTTGTTTTACAGTCCCTATGCGAGTGAAAAAAAATGAATGATATAATTAAGAGAGTGGAAGAGAGAGATGAAGAAAGATAAATGGAATATATAATGAATGCAAAAGTATGTTGCTATTATATCAAAACCCTTATTATCAGGCATTAGCAGTGAGGAAATAAGTTAATGAAGTTTAACAATCAGCTGATTTTGCAGGTATTTTTGGCATGGAATTATGGATCAACAGAGGCCCAAATCAATTCAGTGCAGTTTTTGTAAATTTCCAAAACGTGAAAATCTGACAAGCTGTTAAGTATAATTTCTTCATGCACTCAAACCTCTCACTTTAAATGTTACATGGTATCCCCAATCA